TATGAATTAGAGATGTTCCTATTTTATATACTAAAGTTCAGACTAGATAAATAAAAAAAATTGCAATTATATCAAAAGTCTAAAGTTACATATTGGCTATATTGTCAGCCAAATGTCTAGAAATTATGAGCCTTTGAATTTGTGATGTTCCCTCATAAATCTGAAATATCTTAGAATCTCGATATAATTTTTCAACCGGATATTCTATTTTGATAAAATAAAGCACCGATTAAAAAGAATCATTACTATTATATGTATCAGTAATGGCCGTAAGTACATACCTGTATTAAAGCCATTACCACCAAAAACTTGTACAGCCATATTAGCCGAGTTTACAGCTACATCAGACGCAAGCTAAATAAAGGAATAATTAAAAATCAATTCATTTATGCTTTTTATGCTTAGAAAAATTTTATAAATAAGTTCACATACTGCTTTAGCGATAGAGGCGTAGAATGTGTTCTTCTCGCCTTGATCGTGTAGCCAACTCGCCTATTGAAACGTGCTCGCGTTAGATTGATGTACATTAAGAATTCTCTGTATATTTATAAATATATGATATTTGCCTTCCAAACCATATTTCGAGCCGATTCAATACCTATTGCCATATCGGCAAGTATAAATGCTATACTTTGATGTTCAAAACTTTATAAAATTTGATAATTATCAACTATTTATTTGTTATTATAAATATTAATTTTAGAAAAACACAACGATTAACAATACTAACATTGGTTTACCCATAGTTCGTCTCTCAAGAGAATATCTAGTAGCTTCCTCTAGTGCACGACGCGCCAATCCTACGGCAGCGGCGGCAATTAAGGGACGAGTAATATCAAATGCTGCCATGGCAATTTTGAACCCTTTACCAGCCGTACCTATTCTGACTCATCAAAATAAATAGTAATTAAAATTTTAAATTAACGCGTTTATTATTAAAAAAAAAAAAAAGAAAAAAAATTTTCAAACTTACACGTTCTCTTCGGGTACAACAACATTTTCAAATGAGATACCTCGTGTATCACTAGCGCGTTGTCCCATATTAATTTCTTTTCTACCGACAGTAATTCCTGGCGTGTTCGCGTCCACAATAAATCCCGTAAATGCAGAACCAGGTTTAGCGTTAGGATCCGTACGTGCCAAGACGAAATACCAATTGGCCTTTCCTCCGTTGGTAATCCACATTTTTTGACCATTAATGACCCATTTATCGCCTTTCTTTTCCGCCCTTGTTGAAATTCCAGCAACGTCAGAACCCGCGCCCGGCTCAGTAACACAATATGCGGCCATTAATGGCTCCTCGGTCATACGGCCTAAATATTTTTTATTCTGTTCTTTATTTCCTGCGACGAGTAACGGTGCTTCTGCGAGTCCATTTGCCTCAATCGCTGTTTGAACGCCAGTGCAGCCCCAAGCTAGTTCTTCAGAGATTAGACTAGAATCAAGCACACCAAGGCCGATTCCACCATATTCTTGGGGAATATGTGTGTTTACTAAACCAAGTTCCCAAGCTTTTTTTATAATCTCAGTAGGATACTCTCCGGTTTTGTCATAATGAGCAGCGTTCGGAGCGATCACTTCACGAGAGAAATTACGCGCAAGCCCTTGAAACTCTTTCTGAACTTCGTTCAGTGAAAAATTTATGCTACCAGTTGTGGTCGCGAAAGACCTTATCGCTACTGAACTGTAATGGCCAAATATCGAATAGAATCTTTGTGGAAATTTGATCATTTGAAAAGACATAAGAATGAAATAGGTAAACACCCAATATAGATATCGATGCAAAATCCTAGTATCCGGGTACCATGCTTAGAGATACTCAACAGGGACATTTGTCGATATCCCAAAAAAATTAATCCAAATTATTAATAGCATTCTTTAAGCTCTATTGAATTAGAACCATATCAATATATATACGTATAAATGAATGCATTTCACTTAAGAGGTAAAGTAATATATAGTATTAATAGAAATCAGCCAACTTTTAAAATTTTTTTTAACATTACTTAATCAAAAAAAATTTGCTTGTTGACCTCCCTTATTATTATAATTTCATGTGCTGATACATAAGACGTTTTTTTCTTTTTTTTTTTTGTTTAGAAGTTCCCAATTATTTTCAACTCAACAATATGAGTGATTTTTGCTAACCACTAGTATTCATATCATTTAACTATTACGTATAATTTATTAGATTTAAATTTTTATTAAGATTATAGCCTACTCATTAAGTAAAAACGCTAATGCCAACCTAGCAGATCGGGATACCCGAATTTTAGATATTTCAGATAAAATAATTGGCACACGCTAAAATTTATGAATACCTTTTGTTAGAACACGAAAAGATAGAATTTGATTTTCACATTACACTTTATTCTGTGATTCTACTGTATTAGAATGCAACAAAATAAAATGCAATAACTATATCTTTTTGAATGAAAAAATATCGATAATTTAAAAAAATATTAATTTAAAAATTTAAAAGCTTGCTGAGAGTTGTTTCCTACGGATAAAGTACGTACGCTTATCTTTTGTCTAATGTAAATATACAGAAAAATAATTACAAAATACAGAAATGTAATTAATATATACAAACAAACAAAAAGTAAAATAATATAACAAATAGCAAGTGATAAAGACTTGATCTACAACTTAGCCTAAATAAAAAAAAAACAAGCCTTCAAATCCGTTAAGAAGGAAAATAGTAAAAAAGAAAAAAAAAATAATAAAAACAAAAAACAAAAGTATATATTTAATTATGATGATCCAATATTTAAGGGAAATTGTTTTACCACGAGATTGTGAAATCCTCGCTTTTTAAATCTAATTACATACAAAAAGAAATTTAGCAACCAAAAATAAAGTCCAATAATAGAAAGCTATTTTTTTGATCTAAAAAGCCTTGGAGTTGAATATATTATCATGGGGTAGGCTAAAGCGAAATGAAGGGGAAAAAGAGTCTAAACCAGCCTTCGAGCATTAAATAAAAATGTTGGAAATGCGATTTTACCTATATAGAAAGCCCTAATCTTAATCCTGGCCTTAGCCATCCTTTTAAATGAATGGAATTTTCGGAATGTAGATAATAAATCAACATAAAATAGAACACGAGCATGGTCAGCGAGAATTTCCAAATTATAATTCAAAGTTTTAAATGTTATTGGTAAATGATAGCCGACTAAGTTAGCTTAGCCGTATCAAACATTATCGACTCAGCTAAGCTTATAAATTTTTAATCGACTAAGATCATTAATCAGTGGCGACAGCCCTTCGATATAACGAATTTTGCTTAACTAGGTTGACATAATATTGTTGTAAGTCATCACTAGTGCAGATCAACTGCCAACCGATGAGTTTCAAGAATTCCAGTTCTAAAGTGTTCAGCTCTTGTGTAGATATCCCCCCAACTCTTGCATAATGTGTATTTGTACAGTAGGAATCGCACAATGCTTTAGATGATACTGTGACCGCAGCAATAATGAATCGATGTACAGTCAGTGAGGTTATAGTGAATGCGTTATTTTCGCACACTCGATCCATGTATAACAGAAGTATCAAGAGACAAGATCTTTCCAAGGATGCATATTTTACTATACGACGAAGATAATCAGACACTGTAATTGATGGTGATGCTCTAGAATGAAAGCGAGTTATGTTGGAAGTTGTTAAAGGAATTTGATCATTATGTGCAATTAAACGGCATAACATATCAGCTAAATTAAGGATTTTCAAAAAAAGCGATTAATATTAAATGAGCATGGACACAATAACGGTAACGGTATAGTAAACCACGTTAGATAAGAAACAAACCGATCATGTGCATTAAATGATTAATGTCAACCTGGTCAAACCGTTCTGGAACTTCAATCACGGAATGAGACACTTGATTCATGTTGCTGCATCACAGCCGCTATATTATTTGTTCGATAGTGAACACTTGGAAGTATAAAGGTCGTAAAAAAAAAAAAAAAAAAAAAAAAAAAAGAAAGAAAAAAATAGTTCTTTTGTTTCTGCTCTTTTTATTGCTGTCGCGTAAAATTTTCGTTCCCAAGACTATAATTTAAAGCATCAACTCCTAATGCTACAAAATGAAGTACAGTCGCACAGGTGTTCACATATGGGTAAAACGGACGAACAAAGTTTTAAGTTAGCCAAGAAAAACGGTAGAGTAATAAATTTTTCTAATAACCGAAAAGAGTTTGGAACGTTAAGAGACTTAAATATTTTGAATTTTTAATTTTATTCACGCACCATGTAACAAAGCAATGATTGGTGGAAATTAAATGTCATACAAATGGCATAACAGGTTCTGGAGAAAACACGTTTCTTTTTCGCAAATTTCGTTCGCTTGAATAGTAATAATATATGTACGTAATTTGATTTTGATACCCGCCAAATCTATATATGGGCAAACAAGGGTTTCAATGCAAATAAGCTGGAAGTTTTTAGTAAAAAGCTGGAAGTTTTTAGTAAATGAAAAAAGATTGATTTATAAAATAAACAATTCTATTTAGACTTATATGAAGTAAACTTAATTTAGTAAGTGAAAGTTGAAAAGTAGATATATATATATAAATGTAATAGCATAAAGCTTTTAATTTCATGTAATGGAGAAGCATGTAAGTGATATAGTATATTAAATTAATATCATTATCAATTATATAATTATATATTTTTATATAAAGGTAGTACACAGTCAGACCTCTCTAAGTGCACACCCTATAAATGCACGCTCTATATAAATTCTCTCTAAATACCTTATAAGAGTCTATATATTTTATAAATATACACCCTTTCTAACCCTTTCTAAGTGCACACATCGCCTTTTTAGAGTCCCGAGGGAGGTGCATTTAAGAAGGTCTGACTGTATTAATTGTCATAATGAAAAAGATAATAAAAAGATAATGAAAAAGATAATTGAATTACTTACGTAGTAAATTTTGATGTTTTAATAATAATAAAAGATGAATTCCGAAATTACGTATTAAACCTCAACTAGATATAGTGAAGTACATACGTATGGTATTTTCTCGATATAACTACTGAACTATAGTGAAGAATTTTTTTTTTTTCAGCCCAACGATTTCACTGTAATGAGAGTTGTAGTGACAAGATTAAGGCGCATGACCCCAAGTCATCAAATAATGACCAGACCATTTGGGTCATTTGCATATGATATTTAGTTATGTTATTGGATGCGAAGCAGCCAATAACGGAATTATTTGTAAAATAATTCATCATCAGTGTGAATTTTAATATGTGAGTGCGTGAGAGTAAAACCTGTAACCAATCATAGTAAATCATTAAATCTATTTCCAGGTTTTCACTCTCACGCACTTCTGGGCCCCAGAAATGACATTTTAAATTCGCTGTCAGATAAACAGGTTATTGGTTGCGTAGCATACAATATCGGTGTTCTCCGGTGGTTTACGATGATTGTGCTTGCTAAATAACATGTTTTTTTGGCAGTGATTACGTCATCTGCCAAATAACTTCGTTATTTGGCAGCTTATGTAATCACCGCCGTTATTTTGGGTGTCTATCTTAGGGTGTTTCAAGCGCCTCACTCAATGATCGGAGTCAAATTTTTAATACGTCGGAAATTGAATAAATTAAGGGTAGAGTGAACGTAGATCGTTTTTAATAGTAATCACACTATCGCCATAAAATTCTACTATCACGTGATACTCAAAAAATTTTTAAGTTCATTTAGATTCGGGCTAACGTCTATCGCTATGTTAAGGTTGGTGTTAGAGTGTCCTAATAGTAAAATCACTAAGGAAAACTTTTAGCTAATGCACAGATGGTGGTTTCTTATGCTAATTTTTGAGAAATACTGTAAGCGGTTTTGACAAAATAAATGAATTTCTTGATTATGTTACATTACACCAAATCATAGCTTATTATTGGTTAATTTGCTGTCGACCGTCACGTGACGGCGGAATTTTTATGGCAATACTAGGTAGGACAGTATTATCATGGGACACGGACGTGGACGGCGAACAGTTTGGGTCGGAATGTCTGCAAATATTTTTTTGTCCTGGACAATTAAGATTACAGTATAATAAGAACGGCTTGTTAGCTAATCAAATTTTCGATAAACTATATGACATGGGATATGATCACGGACATGAGACATTGTTCGGAACATAGAATACTGTCCAGAACTGTTTGTGTCTTTGCAATTTTAATGGAACAATGTTTGTGTACAACACTGGGATAGAGTTTTCAGAATTATGATACAACATAATATGTATAATTCAATTTATGTTACATATACATTATATGTTGCATAAAGCTGCATAATTCAGATTATTTTATATAATAATCTTATATAATACAGTATGTAAACTAGAGTTTTTTAGCCAATAAATTGCTTATATCAAATATGATTTAGTGACTAATTATACTAGATAATTTTCTTAATTGTATAATCTAAATTAATCAATGAGATTAAACTTTATATTCTATTATAAGTATTAAAAATTTTTTTATATGGTGCGAGACACTTAAAGACTTCACAAACTTTAAATGCTAATAATATTTGATAGGAAAACAATATCATAAAAAATGAGCCACTATTTTGTAGTTTAACTAATTTACTACAACTTAGCGGCTTTATTTTTTAAAAAATCATTATATAGTTTTTCAATTAATGAGTTTAAAGATATAATATTTTCATATGATCCGTACAAATTTGGTCAAAAATGGGACAAGTCACATGTTTTGGCTTACTCCTATTGGTC